GAATTTATTTATTCTTCCATTTATATAAAGACGTAGAATATTTTCGCCTTGAGACCACATGGGAAAATCGACTGAGAATGGAAGTATTCGTGCTGGGGTTTGTCTTAGATAGTGTTCTTTCTCTCTCTCTCCACATTCATGGGTCAGAACGAGTATTCCTTCGGTTTGCTAACTAACTGTAAACGCCCTATCCCAACTGTGACAATGCGGCAGATCTCACCCGCTGTCTCTTCTGGATGTCGAACTTATGCGTTCAGACTCCACACAGCTCGATTAAATTAAAAATAAAACAAAAGCAAGTCGAAATAATTGTTCGGACTCTTTAGAGGTAAAATCGGAATAACTTTGACGAACCCCATTGCAACCCAAGACCAGACAGAATAGAGAATGGCATAGAGACGACAGAAAATAATAGTAGTGTGCCAAGGTATTTCTGGTCTAACGGTGGTGCTCGAAAATAGTGTTAAGATTCAGCACTAACTGTTGACAAAATAAATACTCTGCCAAAACTTATGGCAATGAACAACTGCAATTAAATGCAATTTTAACCAAATTAATATTTCACTCCTTCGCCCTTTAAATAATCATCACAGGAATTTGACTTTTTTCAACAAAAAAATAGAATAGTTATTAAGAACGTTAGGGACTGATTTATTAATTTTTTTTTGTTAACGTTTCATGGAGACAAATGACCCTGTCTATTTGGGGCTCTTGCAATTTCAAGATGCGACCTGGAAGTTATCCATCTCCAAAACACGAATTGATCTGAATTAAGAACATGATTAAGATGGGTTTGAATGATGGGTTTGCTTGGCTATCTGACTGTCGCCAAACCACCCTACCCCTCCCACCCCTGGAACCTTTCTCTACCGCCCACCACCGCCGCCCCCGCCTCACCCCCCCACGCACCCCCGCCTCCCCCGCAACACACAAACACAACCACCATCTTCCCCATTTCATTTCGATTTCGCCACTATCAAATTATCTGTTTGCAAATGATCCCCGGCAACAATGTCGAAAAGATAACTAGGACTGACACTCCTCTCAATGCCACTTGTTTAAAACAATGCTGTCCGCCATCGTTTCCCGATTCATCAAAACTGAATAGCTTGAAAAATCTGTCATCTCCAATTGTCTTTGCATCTATCCTAATTCTCTTGCATCTTCCCCCTATATATCTCGACCTCCTTGTTTATCCAGCGCTGTATATCTTTATCCGTCTTTCCTTTATAGTTCTGTCAGATCTATAACAGGTTGATTTTTGCTCACAATAAGACACTCAGCGTGAGAATCTATTCCTCCATTCAATTAAGAGATGCATCCTCTTACATATACACGCCACTGACCATTTTTTTCCACCAATAGTTAATAGGAAACCAGCAATAGTGGGTGAGAGGGAATGGGTATTCGTGGGGGCTATTTTCAGATGCATATAAGTTATGTGGGATTTTCAGAAAAATGCAGAAGAGACTGAAATCTGGCTCCAATGAGTTTGAAGCTATTCTTGATTTCGGAGACATAATTTGATCATTATATTGACTGCCCTCTCTCTCTGGCTTGTTTGATTCCCAACTAAAAGTCGCAATCTCCATTAAAGGTAACACAATTCCAAGAAAATTTTTTTTTTCAGTTTCGACCCGAATTAAATAACATTATTTAACTTTCTAATGTACTGGCGCGGTGTGATATCTAACTGAGGAGCAACACTGTGTTGAGGCTAGTCACCACGATATCCGCTAGCACAATTCTAACATCTCTTTCTGAACCTGAAATGCGTTGCGCCATCCTCACGGATAAACCTACCTGGTGCCTCTCAGTCCAGTCGCTCCAATAGAACCAGCTTCTTCTGAGCCTGTTCTTTGTACAGAAACTGATGCACCGCTGGATTATTTGAGCTCAGGGCTGCTTGGTGTTGACTTTAGCACAAAGCAAAGATTTCACTGGCCCGGCAAGGTCCAAAATGATTATTTTAGCAAGATATTGATCGGTCTCATAAAATTCCTTTAAACACAATCCGGGGTTGGCGGGGGGAGGTAGATGATGAGGAGAGTAACAGCTACCTGTTCAAACTCATGAGGCATCAACGAAAGATTTACCTTCTCAGAAATGTTTCTCGCTTACTTCGGCCTCCCTTATTCGTCCCTCCCGTGTGATATTTGATTAACAGAAATTAACAAATATGATTGGAGTTGGGAATGTAGGTAAAATAAGCGACAACCAAACAAAACGTCAGGATCAAAAACTTATGGTATAAATAACGTTTGATAGGGGAATCTAAAATTGAGTGTTTTTAAATGTGCTTATTTTGACAATTATCAAATTGACTGCTCCCCCTCTCCCCCACCGCGCCCCCCCCCAACCCGCCAATACAGTGTGTGACATCTTATCTTCCAGGATCAGCGCGGTGAGACACTTTTAAGTCGTTTTAAAACGACCCGCTGACAATGGTGCTGTGATATGGAACATGTAGGGTTAGAATAGCGCATTCACGCGTCTTTTGTCACCACGGCTGGTTCATTTCTCCACGTATTCTGCTTCGCTCCGGGAGGCTTTTATGCGATCATAATGAAACAGATTTCATGGCTGGTTCGCGACGTGTGTGTCCTCGGGAGTGAGAGACTAAGGTTGGGCTCCCGGGCGATGCAGTGTCCACCGTGAGCTGAGACAATGTGAAATTAGAAAGGGGATTTAACATTGTCACTTCAATAGAGCAGAACTTGCTCATCATTAACAAGAGAGAGACTGTACCCGGGACTGAGAAATTTGAATCCAAGATTTGTCCACTCCCCATCCCCCTTTTTAAAAATGTGCTACATTTTCAATGTTAACTCGCAGTTGTTAAAATATCTGGCTTTTAATTCCAAAGTAGATATGCCTCAGGTTTTGTTGCCAATTCCTCCCGTGCGGCTAAGATGCAAAATTTATATTTAACTTTCAGGTGAGCCGCCAGGTCTAACGGTGGAAAAGGTTGCAGGTTGTGAATGAGGCATTTTTTTTCCAATTCAGCGATTGAAAAATACTCGACCTCCGTCTCCCGCCCGTTATAACTAACCGACAGGACAGTGAATCCCGTTAAACAACGGCCGGAGTAAAATACCGACTCTTGTACACTTTTCCAGCTTGTGGAACTGTCCCTGAGGTCTCGTCTTCTGGTGTGTGTAAATTATTATCGATGGATGAGGTGAATCAGCCCTCAAATTCTGCATTGCACAGTCCGCTGTATATCAGTTGCCTGTCCGCCTGTATTTGCACATATTTAGATTTTAGAATTCCAAGACGCCAGTCAAACTGCTTAAGGTATCTGCTTAAAACAGTTTTTAAAACTTGAATGGATCAGAACACTGTTCCCCGTTCTAAAACTTAACTTGAGAACTTTAAATGTTTGAATAAAACACTTCTGAAAATGGCATCAAACTCAATTCTTTTTTCTTAAAAAATGTGAGCTAATTTCAGTGTTTTGAAATCCTTGGAATTTCTGTATGTAAAATCTCATTTAAATTGTCATTTTGAAATGAACTAAATGTGGATGTGTGACTCATTTAAATTGCCATTTTGAAATGAACTAAATGTGGATTTGTGACTAGTGTGTGTTTTTTTAAAAAAAACTTTCTGGGCTTTTAACACGTCAGTCCCAGATAAGCAGGGAACACGATCAGAGCTAATGCATCCATTATCTCCCTCAACAATGATGCGGTCCAAGAGATTGAACCAACCAGATAAGAAAGCTGACCATCCCCCAGCAGAGAACTTATCCCTGCTCTTGAATTCTCCTGATCAAGGGGGCATAGACCGATTGAAACTCATGTAACTGGCTTGATGCAATCGGTAAAAGTTATGTGTAGCATAGACACGAAATGTCTATGTTAATATTTCAAACGAAGGCCAAGCCTGCGCATTGTCGGTGAAAAAGTTACAGTTATGTTATTGAAAAAAACAAGAGGTCGTGAGTTCTGGTTGACTGCGACAGTTGGTTAAACAGCAAACCTGCCAAATTAATCTGACATATTTCGTAATTAAATTAAAAGAGGAAAAAAGAAGTCGGGGGTATAAAGCTGCAATTATAATGGGACTGGGGGTGATTTCAATATCCCTGCACCATTCTCTCCGAACGGGTGAACTGCGGTTTTATCGAACGGTCTTAACAGCTTTTAATGACTGAGAGATTCAGAGCAATCGCACCGTTAACTACGGGGAAAAAAAATTCCCCCCAAAAAACACACCACCGCCGAAGTGGTACTGGTAAATAACGAAAAAAAGAACACCTCGGATACGTTTTTTTGTGTAAAAAAAACTGCGCATTGCATCCCCTTTCAAATAAATTATTCGCGTTTATTTCTACACAGACGAAAAAAAAGTTTGTAAAAATTCGCCCTGATGGGGAGCCCCACCGCGTTAAAATAAAAACGTTGTCAGTCAACACCGACTCCAGTCGATATGGATGCATTCCATTCCAAATGCCACTATACTGGAGGAGCTTTTGAATGGGAGCGAAACCTACACCTTACTGTTTGAAATTGAAGCACGGGGGAGAGATGAGTGCAGTCCTCTACCTGGCGCCACTCAACACGGTGAGCAGTGATCACCGTGACAGGGAGAATGCAAAACGGACGCTGATTCCATTATATGTATATATATGTATATATATAAACGGCGCACTAATCTCCTTACCTGCGCCGAGGTACAAACCCAGATTCGCTCACACTGTTGAGGTGTCTCACCGATGGAGCAGAGCGCGACATCTCGACTCGAGAATGAGAGAATGGTCATTCAGCTGCCTAGGTATCTCTCTTTTGATTCGATTGGAAAGAAATGTGAAACGTGGCAGTGCATTTTACCAGCGATGGAGGGGAAAATGTTGTCAGCACCAAATGTGTCAGCATTTAAATTAAAAAGAAAACAGGCGAAAGTCACCGCGTTGTTCAGTTCTGCTTTCGCAAACGCTTCCAACATCTAATTAAGTATATAATTTGTTAAGTCTGCTAAGCAAGAAGAAAGGGTCATTTAACCGGATCAAAATATGTTCGTTTATTTTTTTTGTTGTTGTATGTCTGTTTGTTTAATTACATTTTATCGTTTATAAAATGTTAACATTCTCAACGGAAAGAAAAAAAGCTTTCTCAAGTTTCTTACATGGGGAACGACAGCATCAAAGGACACACACACACACACACACACATACAAATAAGACTTCCGCTCTAAAATCTACAGCTCAACAATAAATTAAAATCACTTTTCTTTTTTTAAAAAAGTCGGTGTATCAAGTGAGAATTTACAATCTCCCGGCTGCGTGCGCTCGGGACGGGGTTGTCTGAGGAATTAAGAAACAAAAAGTGCAACAGTTTTAACAGCAATGAACCTTTTCCACGAGCGGGAGTGAGTCAGCTGCCCTTTTCATAGTTCTCGGAGGGGAGAGGATCAGACAGAAATCGGTGTATACATTGAACATTGAACACTTCGGGTTAATACAAGATTCTGAGAGAGAGAGAAGCCGGTAGCATTATAGGGTGTCCCCCAATTATAAATAAATGGACAAAAACTATAAATTACTTGCGGGTGGGGGTTTTGTTTTGACGTTATATGCTAGTAACACTTTCGAAATTTGAAACGTATAGGGAAGGGATGTTCTCTTTTTTTTTAAAAAAAGAATTGGTCCTCAATGAGAGAAATCGACAAGAGAACTGTGCACAGTACAGAAACGTCGTTATATTAAACGCCTCGTTGTATTCTGAAGCAGCCAAAACAAACAGAAGACATTTAAAACGGCCCGCAATATACAGTCCAAAAAACAACCGTGAAGAGGAATCGCTGAACAGCTAACAGTTTGAAAACATCAACCAAACAAAAAATTTCCAATTGCCTGCGCATAAGATTCGCCCCCACACACCCTCCCTCCCTCCCTTAATTAATAATTCTTACAAAAATGTACAGAGTTGGCCCAGTCCGATTGTGAGAGGGGGATAGGTTTAAGATGAGTTCATGATTGGTCTGGAATACACACCTTGGTAGTAAGACGTGTCGTTGGCGATGGACGATGGATCTAAGACCCCTTTGGAGCTCATGGGGAGATTGGCGGACATAGGGGAGTTATAGTTAGAGTAATGCATCACTTGGTCATACGCCTTCAAGTCCATTTTGTGATGTTGCTGTTCGGAAGACATCAAGTTGTTGATTGAGAACGGGTGGTTGAACGAGTAGTGGTGCTCGGGTTTCAGGTGGTCCTGACCTTGCGACGGCAGATGGGACAGCACCGAGTGATGTTGGTGCATGAGGTGAGGCGGTGGCGGAGGCGCCTGGCTTACCGCTCCGTTACCGTGCTCCGGGCTCAGGGTGGAGCTCCGGGACTTGAGGTCAGCCAGGGGTCTCTTGGGATCGCCTCCTCCTCCGCCTCCGCCGCCGGGAGAGCCGCCGGACTGGGGTGACTCGTTCCCGGCGCTGGTATCGGTGCCGCTACCGGCGGAGCAGCTCTCGGAAGCCTTGCGGCCGGGGTCTTGTTGCGAATTCTTTAGCGCCTGTTTCTTCTCGCACTTGAAGCGCTTCTGGCGCCGCAGGTAGCAGCCGTTCTCGAACATATTCCCCGAGTCAGGGTGCAGGGTCCAGAAGGAGCCTTTCCCCGGTTTGTCTGGGGATCTGGGCACCTTCAGGAAACAGTCATTGAAGGAGAGCGAGTGGCGGATGGAGTTCTGCCAACGTTGCTGGTTCTGGCGGTAGAAAGGGAACAGATCCATGATCCACTGGTAGATCTCACTGAGAGTCAGCATCTTGTTGGGAGACTGCTGAATGGCCATGGTGATAAGGGAGATGTAGGAGTAAGGAGGCTTGGCGTGGGTATAACTGCGGCGGTAGGTCTTGGGATCCCTGGACCTGTTCAGGTTGGATTGGCCGTAGAGTGGACTCATGCTCATGTTGGTGTACGAGGTCAGGGCGTTCATGGAAGTCGCCTGGGCGCTCATCGGACTCATGCTGGGGCTCAAGGCACTGCCCATGCCCGTCATGCCTGCTCCCATGCCATTCATCGCCCCCGCTCCGGGGGACATGCCAGTCATAGCCGGGCTCATGCCGGTGCCGACGTAAGACATGTTCATGGACCCTGCTGTCATGTTGGCTGTGGTGCCCATCGCGGACATGGTCATGTAGGTGTTCATGCCATTCATTCCAATCCCCCCATTCATATTGCTCACTGTGGGGTAACCCTAGGGCAGGAAACAAGAAAAGCAGACGGTCACCTTTTTTGAGAAACTAACTGCCCCTAAGCGCCTGAGCTAATCTTAAAAGCAGACAGAAACGAGGCATTCACTTCCACGTTGGCATCGCTCACAACGCGTCCCATTCACTCGTGAGAAGCAAAATCTCACTTTTTAAAAAATTGATAATTCGGTTTTTATTATTGTATATAAAAGGAGAAAAATCTACTGAATTGCTTTTTAACTATCAAACTCGATTATTAATTCTGCCTGAAAAAAAATCAACAAATTTTTCCTGCAGTAACGATTTAAAAGGAAAATAATGAAACGGTTGAACTAAAAAAGGCGAGTGTACGAAAAAGGAGGTAAATTGTAACAAAAAGAGCTGCATTAAAGTGGACCTGTCAATAGGCATTTAATAAAACCATGACATAGCCAAAGCACACTCAACATCTGACTTTCGAATAAATAAGGTTTGAGTTTAATGATCAGCTCAAAGTAAAAGGGAACTAAATAAGTTATGTCTCCAGCGCTTTCGAAGTATGTAAATGTACAACAGAAACTTTATTTTAGCCAAATACAACATTGTTTAAAGACTGTTGAGGTACAAATCGAGGAGGAATTGGAGCCGCGCAAGTCAATATTTGATCACAAAGTTAATATTATCTTAAGGCTAATATTATCTTGTACATAAAGAGGATTGCTTCAAAAAACCAAAAAAAAGCGCCGAAAGCTTACCTCGGACTCTGCATAGTAGGAGCTCCAGTCTGTGTGGTCATGTCCTTCCATTTTCACTGCGCCTAGCATACTGGAGGTAGGGTGCATTATAGGGCTCGAGAGAGAGAGAGAAAAAGTTCCTGCTGATCGTGGGCGATAGATTACCCCCGTGTCCGATTGCGGAATGGCTTATTTTTTTTGGGGAGGGGTGTGTTGAGTGTGGGAGGTGGTGGAGGAGGTGTGTGCATGTGTTGGTGGGGGTGGAGGAGGTGGGGGGGGGGGGGGGGTTGAGGGTGGGGGAAGTGCTGGGTTCTGCAGCCCTAATGCTAAACTGCAGCGAACGAGCGATCCCAGTGATGACAGTAGTTTGAAGTGACGTGGGTGGCTTAGCGGTGCACGGTGATATAAGCAGTCAGACCGCCAATCCCCAATTTCCTCGCAATCCTATTTGAATAATCATTTCACACCTAGCCGTGAGAACACTACAGCTTGGCCCCCACCTGCTACCAGCATCATATGGGGCGGGGGGGAATTTTGAACAAATTCATTAAACTGACGTGTGATTTGCTCCATTAATAGATTTGGAGGGGGGAGGGGGGCGTGTGGAATGGAGGGAATTTCTACCTCACTTCTTTGGAAAAAAAAGTCCAAAAAAACCTGGTCCATTAGAAATGGCCGCGCTGCAACGTGAGTCATTTTGTCAATGGAAATGGGCAAATTAAGATTTCGTTTTTTTTAATTGAACAGGAGTTTGAGATCTATCACGTTTAAGTATGTGTCTCCAGCCACCCCCATCCCCAACCTCCCTCACCCAGAGCTCTTTGCTCTTACACCTAACGCAAACTTAAACCGTGGACTGTCACAGCGTATTGCACACATGAATAATCTAGTTGCTAAAATGACCGGCTGCTTTCCTCTAACAATCAAAGCTGCTCCATCCGTATCTCAAAGGGAGACCTCGGGGCGTGATTATGGGGTGCAAGCCGACTCGGTTGTACGTTTAACATAGTCCCAAAGAACTCCTTCTTGCGACCATTATTGTAAGAAAAACAAGCACACTTTTTTTTCCAGGGGGTATATAATGGAAATCGATATAATATTAACCCGCCTTCATGAGGGTAACACTCTACCATTGGCTCAGTTTTAATTGTCTTGAGGATAGAGGAGGCAGCGTGCGCCTTTTCACTGGCGCCGCCAAACTTGCGAATACTGAACTGCCAGGAAAAGGTGTATTATCTCCTTCGAGAAATTCAGAAAGATCCGTGATTTAAAATTGATCGTTGCTAAAGTCACGGGAGATGTTAATAATCTTAGTAAAACGGCGTGTCAGACACACCCGCGCGGACACACACAAAAAATATTATTCTGTTCATTTCGTCAAAACACAACTCAGTTTCCGACCATTAGTTAGCGTTTGTATATGTACAACAATCTCACGTGCGTGTTTTTGTCAATAGACGCTTGAAGCACCTCGAAATTCTTTTTTAGGTCAAATGTCTTTTTTCAAAGCAGATTTTGTTTTTGAGCCGAGTTTAAATGCAGCTGAAACCGACCCACTTTGTGATTTCTGCATCACTGGTGGACTTAACATTCATGAGAAAATGGCACCCCTTATTGAAAAATGTTTTCGTTTAGTCATTTTGGGGGGAGGAATTGAGTGATTTGGGGGGAGTTGGAGGAAATGTTATTGAGTTTCAGTAACCCCTGCAGTACATTAACAACTTACAGTGACAACAGCTTCTAATGCGAGACCAGGTGTAAGCGGAATTCGGGCATTACAAGATTTATACTGCAAGGCTGCAATCTGTACTTCACCTGTCGAGACAGAGGGACGACAATGGAAGTGTGAGAGCCTTTTCGATTTCCTATCAGGAGACCACTGAATGGGGTGCATAAATCAGGATGTCTGAGGTATATTTTAATCCGGCAGCAGATTACAGACCCCACTACTGCTGGGGTCTGGGAGGTCGTTTCAGGGAATCTCGGGTCCTGCCCACTGTGTCCCCATCAAAATCACAAGGGGTGTCTGGTAGAGTAACAGCAAACCTAAAACATCCACGCAGCCACAGAAGAATAAAAACAAACACGTTATTAAACTATTACTGAAAAACAAATCCATAATAAATAAACAATAATCTCATTGCTGTATGAAATACTAATGAAAAGGAGGTATAATTCGAGCACTCCTGCAGGTTATCAGTAATGCGGCCCCTAATTTGAAGGGGCGGGTTGGTCCATTAGGAAGAAACAGATTTGAGCCCCTCTGATCACATCTAACGGGTGCCTCCAGCTCATGCAAACAGCGCTGATGTTTTGGACTTTTCGCTGTTAATCCATAAAGTTTATAAATGCTTTTCTTTCTCCCCCAAGCGACTGTGTGGGCCGTTCTTAGCTTTTCCAGCAGCAGTGACTTCCCTGGAGCAAATGTTTACTGAAAAACACCTCGTCTGGCTCACAGCCCTCAAAGCTGTAAAAGTTGCCCTTGTTTGCATTTACCGTCTGAAGGGGAGTGTTACACAAACTTTATTTTAAAAAAAGTGTTAGCGGCTCGTCCCTTCCTGCAACAAAAAAATAAAACGCGACACCTGATTGTGACACACAGCCGAGGTAAGAACAGTGCTGGTTTTAATTAATATTGAAACATTTTTTTCTTCTTGTGCAGCGAAGTAGCCAACAAAATATAGAAAGAATCTCTTGATGTTAAAATGTTCTAAAAAAAAGTCACCATAGTCCTACCAAACCAGAGGGCTGCTATCTCATGACAGAGTACACGGACCGCGACTTGAATGATTTGTATTGTAATGATATGAATGAGTTTATCACGATAAACAGAATAAAGTTGGACAAGGGGTCCCCCTGATGGTAATTACACCACAGCAAGTCCTGACCAGCTTTTCTCGCCTATTACTCCAAACACTGTTTATTCGACGGGAATCTGCCTTTCCGGTAGGTGTTTGAACATTGTGAACATCCGCGTTTCCTACCTCCGGAAAGTGTAGCGGATCAGTTTTTTTTTCTTTCGCCTGGATATGGAAACCATTTGGCCTATATTTCAGCTCTACAGTCAGTTTCAATCCCCTTTAATCTTTACACAGAGCACGGCAGGTCTTCCCGTTTAGAAATGTGTAAGTCAATTTTTTTTGATGTCACAATTGAAACAAGTCTTCACCACATTTTCATGCACGGCGTACCCCACCGAGGCAACTTGCTGCATATTCTACAGCCTACTATTTCGTATTTGTGTGTTAGTTGCTGGAAACAGTTTATTCATAACTGTTTACGTAGAATCCACACAGTGTGGAAACAGACCATTCGGCCCCACAAGTCCACACCCCCTCTCCGAAGAGCATCCCACTTGTACTCACCCCTCTACCCTCTAACCTTGCATTTCCCATGGCTAATCCACGTAACCAGCGCATCCCCGGACACTGCGGGCAATTTGGCATGGCCAATCCACCTAGCCTGGACGTCTTTGGACTGTGGGAGGAAACCGGAGCACCCGGAGGAAACCCACGCAGACACGGGGAGAATGTGCAAATTCCACGCAGGCAGACACCCGAGGGTGGAATTGAACCCAGGTTCATGGCGCTATGAGGCAGCAGTGCTAACCACTGAGACACCGTATTTTGAACATCCCCATTAGATTTCACCTGAGCCGCCTTTATTCTAAGTGGAATGAGCTCAGCATCTTTAGTTCCTTTAGAAAATTGAGGTCCCTTTAATCTGATATTATTCTAATTTTTTTGTCTGTACTGTGATATTGTCAGCCAAGTGCAAGTTCTTGAAACTCAGACTCAGCTACAGTTAAACCAGAATTGAACAATGAATGCTTGACAGCTACTGTTGTGTTTTCTCCCTTCTTCTTTGATTTGATTTGATTTATTATTGCACATGTACCTAGGTACAATGACAAGTTTTGTTTTGTGCGCAGTACAGATCATTCAAAAGACACTAGGGCAATAGAACAGAGCAAGGAATAGAATGTTAACAGTTGCAGAGAAGGTGCACAGAGAGCGAGATCAAAATTAAAATTAAAATCTGAGATGTCCTTCTTACATCTGTTCAGACCAGCACCTGTGAGTGAACACTATTCAGAGATTTCAAACTTTACATGTACCTTCATCAAGGCTTTGACATCCTTTCCAAAGTGTGATGTGCAGAGATGGATGTAATGTTTGAAACTGATTTAATTCAGTTCAAAGGTTCAGCATAGTTTTCTTACTAAGTGTGTATTAATAAAACCAAGGACCTCATGTGTTTAGTTTTAACATTCTCATTAACTTGTCCTTGCATCTTCTATGTTTATATGAAGATTATACTGTGTTGTGTTAGCAGGCTTCGGGATGCCTGTGGTAGGCATGTTAGGGCTTCCTCCTTCAAAATAGATTTATTTATGAAGAACTGTTTTCAGTTGCAACTGCTAAAAGTGTAATAATGAGTCATAGAGTCATACAGCACAGAAACAGACCCTTTGGTCCAACCTGTCCATGCCAAGTCTCACAAACTGAACTAGCCCCATTTGTCTGTGTTTGGCCCATATTCCTATAAACCTTTCCCATTTGTCTACCTGTCCAAATGTCTTTTCAATGCTGTCAATGTATCTGCATCTACCACTTCCTCTGGCAGCTCGTTCCATATAGGCACCACCCTCTGCGTGAAAAAGTTGCCCCTCAGGTCTCTTTTAAATCTTTTCCCCTCTCCCCTTAAACCTATGCTGTGTAGTTTTGAACTCCCCTACCCTACGGAAAAGATCTTTGCTATTCACCTTATCTGTGCCCCTCATGATTTTATAAACCTCTATAAGGTCACTCCTCAACTTTCTATGGTCCAGTGAAAAAAAGTCCCAACCCATCAAGGCTGTCATTATAGCTGAACCCCTCCAGCCCAGGCTGTGCTGAGTTGCCCTTCAATTTCTAGGAACATCATCACCATTAATTGGCCCTTTATAGAGGCACTGAAGACAGATGGATGTTTTTTTTATTTAGTCTATTTTTCTAGACAACCTGTTCAGAATTGTTATTAGTACACCTGTAGATCAGGTGGGATTTGAACCCAGGCCTCCTATTCCAGGGGTCAGGACACTACCTCTGCACAACAAGAGGCCACGAGCTGAATTGCTTTCTTTTTTGGATGGACTCCTCAAGGTAATGAACAAGTAATTGGGGAGCTGACAAGTGCAGTAAGCAGATACCTGGAAAGACTGGTGCTGTCAGTGAAGGAAAAGTGAGGTGTTGGTCACAACCATTTGCACTCTTGTGTCTCCCTTACACTGTGGAGTCCACCAAGCATAGAATTTGCATTCCTACATGCAGTGCCACTAAAAAGCCAGCAGGGGCAATATCTGAAACAGAGCTTCAAAGTCGGGTCTAGGCCCGAAACGTCAGCTTTTCTGCTCCTATGATGCTGCTTGGCCTGCTGTGTTCATCCAGCTCTGCACCTTGTTGTCTCGGATTCTCCAGCATCTGCAGTTCCTACTATTTCTGAGGTAAATCAGTCTTTCTCAGTATTTGTAGAATCGTCCCTACGATGCAGATAGAGACCATTATGCCCATCAAGTCTGCAAGACCCTCTAAAGAGCATTCCACCCTATCCCCATAACCCAGAATTTGCCATGCCTAACCTGCCTTGCCTGCACACTACAGGGCAATTTAGCACGGCCAACCTCCCTAACCTATGCATCTTTGGACTGTGGGAAGAAGCCCTCACAGAGACGGGGAGTATGTGCAAACTCCACACAGGCAGTCACCCGAAGGTGGAATCAAACGCAGGTACTGGGAACTGTGAGGCAGCAGTACTAACCACTGAGCCACCATGCCACCCCACTGAGTGTATGTCTGTACATGCACTGACTTAGTTTGTTAATCTCTCACACAACAAAATACAACTTCATTTTTTAGAAATAATTTTCTTTGCAGTTGAATGATAACTATTTTTCACATTCAGTCATGTCAGAGACGCAAAAGATATTAGCCAACATTTCTCATGTTTGAGTGCTTTTCCTTGGTGGACCTGTTTTGCAGAATTTGGTTCGTCAGATTTAGTTTGTTTTTCTGTTTTTCCCCTTCTCCTCTTTCAGCCTTGGCCTATCTTGTTCTAACGGAACTTGACCCTTCACCAACATTTCCCAATCAAAAACTTGGGAGAGGACAGATTTCACCAACTGTCGATACTCGGAATATGAACTTTGTTTTTCCTTTCTTGAACAGTGAAAGGCTATTGATTTCGAAACATGTTTTGCTGTTTTAAATCTGAGGCAATGACAGAACTCAGAATTCTCATGTTGAGGAAAATTTCTCATTTTTCCATCTCTCAATGTTATTTCTTACAGCCAAATTGTTATTCTGAAGGTTCCATTAAATTACCCAAAAGCTGTTGACGAACAGTAGGACCCTGGGAAGCACAGAGGATCGGAAGGACATTGTTATGCATGCCCACTGATCCCTTAAAGATAGCGGGACAAGTAGATAAAGTAGTTAAGTTGAGATATGGGTTACTTTATTAGCTGTAAGAGCAGCGAGGTGATGCTGGAATTGTACAAAATGTTGGCTAGGCCACAACTAGAGTATTGTATGCAAATCTGGAATCCATTATAAAGGAGGGATGTGACTGCTTCTTCAGAGGGTGCACATGAGATTTACCAGGATGTTGCCTCGGATGGAGAGTTTCAGTTTTGAAGAGAAATTGGATTGTTTTCCTTGGTGCAGAAAAAAGAACTGAGGGTGGTCATGATTGAGATAAAATAATGTGAGGCATAGACAGGGTCGATGGGAAGACACTTTTCCCCTTGATGGAGGGATCAATAACTAAGTGCATAGATTTAGAGGGAATGTGAGAAAAAACATTTTCACGCAGAGGGTGGCAGTATCTGGAATTCATTGCCTGTAAGCAGGATAGAGGCAGAAATCTCATCATACTTAAGAAGTATTGAGATGTTCACTTGCAATGCCAAAGCATACAAAGGTACGGGCAGTTGCTGGAAAATGGGATTAGAATAGATAGCTGGATGTTTTTGACTCGTGTAGACGCAATGTGCTATAGACCTCTATGACTCAGTTGATATAAATGATTTTCCAATCCTATACTACATTACAATGATAAATTATTAAACGTTAAAAGCAGAATAATAGAAAAGATGTCTTGAACCGCAACAACCCCAGCTTTAAACAGGAGTGAAACTAGTGAAGAAATGACCAAGAATTCATTTCTGTTCCTTGTAAACTAACCTCATCAGACCTGCCAAAACCAACTTCGTTTCAGCAATGTTCACTTGGCTGAGGGCAAAGCAATGTAATCATCCAATCTTCAAAATTTATTCTGAGGAACTGATTGCATCCCTAGCTAACTCAAAGAGAGAAATAAGCAGTTTCAGTATAACTTTTAAAAGGAAATTGAATAAATACCTAAAAGGGGAACTTACTGGGCTATGGGGGAGAAGATAGTGTCATGGGAATAACTGGAAAACTTCTTCAAACAACCTACACAGGGATAGTAGGATGAATGACCTCCAACTGTAGTGTATCATTCTACAATGAATTCAAAGGTGTCCAGAGACATTCCAGTGAAGATACCTATATTGACAGTGATCTGCTTCCTGCAATGAGCACAGT